AATGAGGGAATGAGTTTACTTTTACACCGTTTTTATCAATATTCCAGCAATATCACGACGGGGACACCAGAAATGGGCTTCACATATTGTACTTATGTCGCGAAAAACAAGAGAACCCGAGTGGGGGCGAAAACACAAAACTTGAATTCATCTGAATAAACCAGTTTGATCAAATGATGATTAATGCTTGTTTGATCGGCTTGTTTTCTCGACGTTGGTGAGTAAAACATATAGCATATAACTTGATGGAGCAACTTCTTGTATATTGCACAGAGCGACGTTTCGGTGTAGATTCTTATACCGTTATCAAAGCGGTGTAAGCTAAGACGTCGCTTAATGCATTAACAAGAAGTTGTTATATGTTCCATATGCGCTATATTTTTGATGATTAATTCCCCCTGTTTCGTCTATTTTGTCAGGATTGTTAAACTTTAGCCGAGAGAGATAACAGATGAGATATAATGAACGTGAAGAGTGTTCCTGCGCAGCATTAATTTTATTTATTTATTTTCTATTTTTTAAACTTCATACACCATGCTGACATCTGCGGTCGATCCATAAACCACTACAAGGTCGAGTTAAAATGATATATTAATATTTTTTCGTCAAACTGCCAAACTCGTGACCTTGGTGTTTGTGTGGGTGTTGTCAGTTTTTAAATAATCATTCATTTTCGTTCCCAACTGAAATTCAAAATGGCGCCCACATTAATCATGTCGCGACACATGTCATGTTCAAAGCATATAGGATATGAAGGTTATGTCCGGGATTGAATAATCCGGACGGTGATAGCCGAGGGGAAAAATTAATCTTTCGAGGCTTCGTTACAACCCAAACATAACTAAAGAATGTTTTATCTTTCTCAAAAAACGACAAGATAAATGACAGAATGTTTCAAATATTTTGAAAAATTTGTAAAAAATGTTGAAAAATCTGATATGGTTGAAGTGTCATCTGTACAAAGGTCGTTGGGGGTAGCCTAATGGGACAAGCCTACTGATTAAGGCGTTGGCTTCTCGCGCCTGAGACCCACTTTCTATTCCCGCGTTGTTATAACGTGTGAAACCCATTTCTGGAGATCGTAAACCCGAATCCATTCAGGTTTCTAATTATAATCCTGGGGAGATCGAGGATGTAAATGGCGACTGACGGGATTGGATGGTCAGACTCGATGGCTTGGTTAATGCTTTCATCGTATAAACTAATTAGATCGATGTTCATGATGTCAATCACTGGGACCCGTGAAGATCCGGGTTAGAATTGATCTTCAGCAACCCATGTTTGTCGTAAGAGGCGACTAACGGGATTGGATGGTCAGACTCGATGACTCGGTTAATGCTTTCATCGTATAAATTAATAAGATCGATGTTCATGATGTCAATCACTGGGACCCGTGAAGATCCGGGTTAGAATTGATCTTCAGCAGCCCATGTTTGTCGTAAGAGGCGACTAACGGGGTCGGGTGGTCAGGCTCGCTGATTTGGTTAACACATGCCATCGGTTCCCAATTGTGTATGGAGATCAAAGCGGATGCAGTTGATCACAGGTTTGTCTGGTCCAGATTCGATTATTTACAGCTGGAACGTTGCTCAGTGCGACAAACAAAATCCATTATCACTGGATTGTCTGGTCTGGACTGCGTTGTTTGCAAATCGCCGTCATATGGCTGGAAAAATACTGGGTACGGCTTTACACAGCAAACAACCAAACCACTTGCTCCAAGGCTGTACTGAATGCTAAAGCCCATGGATGTATAGTAATTCTATCCTTCTAAGAGGCAAGTCTAGATAAGCGGACAGTACAAGTCTAAGGACCACAGTCTGTTATTTGTTATGTTTTAGAAATTATCATTTAAACTGATACTTTTCATCTTAGAGACTTGTGCAATTCTATGGCGGAGGGTACAAATAATAATATTCGGGAACTATTAGACTACCATGCAGGGTGTGAAGTAGGCCTCCGCCTTGACGAACTGACGCTTCAACCTTCAGGCAACTCGACCTGTCATTGCTTGAAGCAGCGTTTGATTCAAATTACCGAAGTGTACTTGTAGCGTCTAAAGGATCCTAAAAATACACAGTCAATCAGAAGACGTATCCGGTGTCAAATGACACAAGCGATAAATCCCTACATTGGACATTTAATCCGTTAAAGCCATTCTTTGCTTTTGTAGCTATGAATATATGGGTTAAATGGTATAATCTTTGAAAATCCAGATAATACCCAAGACTAAAGCTCAGGCCTTGGAAATATAGGATTTTGAAGTGAACAAACAACTCCGGTTTAATTTACAAAAGAGCCGCGGTGAGTTTGGGTTTCACAACCCTTGTAAAATCTAGACTTGCTTCATGCAGAGTTAAGGGAGGCGATGTAGGCAGGTATGGGTACAATGTGTGAAGCCCATTTCTGGTGTCCCCCGCCGTGATGTTGCTGGAATATTGCTAAAAGCGGCGTAAAACCAAACTCACTCACTCACTGATGTAGGCAGGTGGTTAAAGCCTCGTCACGCCGCTGGCCCGTGTTCGATTCCCCATATAGGGTAAAATGTGTGAAGCCCATTTCTGGTGTTCCTCGCGGTGATATTAGCTGGAATATTGCTAAACTGGAATATTGCTAAAAGCAGTTCAAAACTCAACTCACTCACTCATTAAGGGTCATAAAGGCGAAAGGAAAAGTAATATTTGGGAACAGCGAGACAGGCTATGTAAAACCTTTATAATAACGCATTTTCTCCTAATTTTGGCATTAATATAAACTGTTAGTTTATTATTTATTGTTCAACTCCACATTCAGCAATATTCCTCATAAGGCGGCGGTCTACAAAAAATAGAATCTGGACCAGACAATCCAGTGATCAACAAACATGTGCACCGATCTACGCAATTGAGATACGATGACATGTCAACCAAGTCAGTACACCTGACCACCCGATCCCGCTAGTCGCCTCTTACGACAAGCATGGGTTGCTGGAGACCAATTCTAACCTGCCAATACAGGCTGAATATCCAGAAGTGGGGCTAAAGGTATCCCAAGTGTATTGTGTCAGCCAGCGCATGTCAAATCCGTCTATCCAGTATTGTCACTGTGCATGTCTTAGTGATGTATTTGTGCACGATCTCATCCCTTCGCTGTCTAGACAATGCGTATTAATACTGGCTGTCGGTAACTTCAAAGACCAGGTAAGACAACGTACCACTTGAGTGTCGACGCAAGATTAATCTTTGCAGTTTGACAAGTCGATGTCGACGCTGTTGGAGAGATGTACATGTTGAGAGCGTTGCTGTCAGTGTTGTGAAGGTGGGCAGTGTTGGTGTGATGAAATTACGAGTAGTAGTAGTTGAAGTGATAGCAGCAGCAGCAATAATAATAATAATAATAGTAGTAGTAGTAGTAGTAATAGTAGTAGCAGTAGCAGTAGATACTAGTGATGATAGTAGTAATGTAATAGTAGTAGTAGTGGTGGAACCGGTAGTAGTAGATAGTAGTGATGAAATAGTAGTAGTAGTAGCAGCAGCAGCAGTAGCAGTGATGGTAATAGACGTAATGGTAGTAGTAATGGTGGTAGTGTCAGTAGTAGTAGAGGTAGTAGTAATGGTAGTTCTGGTAATTGCAGTAATGGTAGTAGTAGCCATGGTAGTGGTAATTGTAGTAATGGCATGGTAGTAGTAGTAATGGTGGTAGTAGTAGCCAAGGAGGTAAGTAGTAAGTGGTGGTAGTAGTAATGCATGGTAAGGTGTAGTAGCCGTGGTAAGCATGGTAATTAGTAATGGTAGTAGTAGTATGCCGTGATAATTGCAGTAATGGTAGTAGTAGTAGTGGCCGTGATAATTGCAGTAATGGTGGTAGTAGTAGCCGTGATGGTAATTGCAGTAATGGTGGTAGTAGTAGCGGTGGTAATAATTCGGTAGTAATGGTGGTAGTAGTAGCCGTGGTAATTAGCAGCAGTAATGGTAGTAGTAGTAGCCGTGGTAATTGTAACTGTAGTAATGGTAGTAGTAGCCGTGGTAATTGCAGTAATGGTAGTAGTAGTAGCCGTGGTAATGTGGTAATTGTAGTAATGGTGGTTGCAGTAATGGTAGTAGTAGCCGTGGTAATTGTAGTAATGGTGGTAGTAGTAGCCGTGGTAATTGCAGTAATGGTGGTAGTAGTAGCCGTGGTAATTGCAGTAATGGTGGTAGTAGTAGCCGTGGTAATTGCAGTAATGGTGGTAGTAGTAGCCGTGGTAATTGTAGTAATGGTGGTAGTAGTAGCCGTGGTAATTGCAGTAATGGTGGTAGTAGTAGTATACGTGATAATTGCAGTAATGGTAGTAATAGTAGCCGTGGTAATTGCAGTAATGGTAGTAGTAGTAGCCGTGGTAGTAATGGTGGTAGTAGTAATGGTAGTCGTAGTAATTGCAGTAATCGTAGTAATAGTAGTAGTAGCCGTGGTAATTGCAGTAATGGTAGTAGTAGTAATGGTGGTAGTAGTAGCAGCCGTAGTAGTAGTAGTGGTGGTAAGTAATGGTGGTAAATTGTAGTAAATGTAATAGTAGTAGTAGTGAGTAGTAGTAGTAATAGTGGTAGTAGTAGTAGTAGTAGTAGTAGTAGTAGTAGTAGTAGTAGTAGTAGTAGTTAATAATGGTGGTCGAGTTAAATGCAACAAAGCGAGAACATCGTGGAAGCTGGGTGAGGCTATCAGCAGCAATGTGCTAGCTGGAAGTGCAATGTTCAGTATGTTCAGTATGTTTCTGTAACTGGTCTTTTCTAGTAACCCACGTACTCTTCAAGCTCTCTATTGTCCTATATCTTGACCGTCACATTCATTTTATTCACACACTGTTCAAACATTCCAAATTCCTGCTTCATAGAGATGCATGTTCGTTATATCACAGCGGTAGGTTTGGGTGTCATTGTTTCTAAAGCGTACCTATTATTGCCTTGACTTCTGTAACGCAAATTGAAGTTAATGTTTCACCGGTCTGCGCCCACCACAAAAGAATTAAAACGACGAAAAACTCGTTCTGGTAAAACATCATCAAATTTATTCAATAATGTATTTACAAATAATGTATGTTAAATACTATACACCATACAGTCACCAATGTCAAGAAAGCAATCATATATTGACATGAAAATGTTCAACACCCGCCATTTTGAAAACGAGATTGACAGCAAATATTGATGACGTCATCAAAAAGGGTAATATACAGATCAAAAACTACTAAAATATGTCGCACGTTCCCTTCTTGGGACAAAACTTCACGAAACTTGCTTGGGTAATCTGTGACAATAATAGTTTTCCTTAACCAAAATTTCAATGGCAGAGACGTCTAACTTACAAAAACCTACAACCATCTCGTCCATGGACTCCTTCAATAAAGCATAGGTAATAATAAAACTGTTGAACGAAGCTGTACTCTTGTCCATATAAATAGAGTATAAGCATAAATCTGGCAATACAAGCCACCGTATGTATATAAGACATCATCCTCGGTGTTCAAGGGTATAATAGCAGTATGTATACCCTGGACCCATCTGTCACCACAGCTTCGCCAGCATCTCCATCTCGACTGCTTATAACAGTAACTTGATTGGACGGTCATCTTTAGCATCGTTTAGTTAGAATCTGGCTCAAAACGAAGCTCATAGAATCATGATACAATTCCCTGGAACACCGAGGATGATAAGACAGTACAATGTGGAGAGATTTCATTTGAATCTATAATAGCATTATGCCTTAGCTGCAGACAATATCGGGTTTATAATTATACTGGCGAAGTTATATGTCAGTTTTATTATGCATGAAAAACTTGATTACACAATCAGTGGGCTTGTAGGATTGACTACTTGGAACCCAAGTGAGGATTCGAACGGAGTATTTATGCGTAAAGAGTAAACGCACTTCCTACATGGCTACACAACCGAAATGCAGGGGTGGCAGAAACATGCTACACTAGTTCGAAGAGATACACATTCTCTTCCTATGAATGATAATCCTGTTCAAATACACCTAATATTTCTTTTAAAGCTTTAATTGAAAAATTGATTATTAAGTTGAATTGGTTTGCAATATTAGACAAAATAAACAATTAAATGATTCATGTTAATTATTTTCGAAAATCCATTAGATTTTGGGAGTCATGGATCTGAGAAGAACAAGGCACCGTCAAATGATTATCTTATGAACTTGGTTTTAATTAGATTTTCTAACAGGAAAACCCGATATCATGTGCATAATTGCCCATATGTCCATCACACTACATCCAAACATTATAAAAAGGTTGGATTACATTGTTAAAAAACAATCTTTGCAAAGAACGAAATTTGCAATTTTGACAACGTATATTCAAGAGCTTTGCAGCCATCTGTGCTAATGTACAAAGTACTAGAGGATGTTGATCAGAACGGACATGCGCAGTTGATTATTTATAAGAGAGAAGGTGTTTCACATTATCATCAAACACATGCACGATGGACATTTGTAAAGTTGGCGGTCAAATGTTTTCCAACACTGATATTTGTACATTATTGGTTTTTCAATCAAGTAGATAAAATAAAATATGTTACATCCGTATAGATAGCTGATATACGGTGTGTCTGTTTCCTCCGTCCCGCTAGCCAATCAGCGTCCAGCCTGCAGTATTATCACACTTAGTAAAACCGTTAGTGCTGCCGGATGTGACGTCACAAGTGACGAGGCACCATTTCCATTGTCTGTAATGTATTTACTTTTGTACTTATTTTTATCATCCATTGAGCTCGAGGTGTAGCCGGGTTGATGTTGCTGGGGCTTCTCCGTTGACTGAAACAAAGAGAAAACAAAATGGTTAAATTAATTGTTAAATTGATAAATCCTGTTTTAATTCGTTACAAGATTGTTTATTTTGACGCAAAGTGAGTGAGTGAGTGAGTGAGTATACTTTTACGCCGCGTTTAGCAATATTCCAGCAATATCACGGCGGGGGACACCAGAAATGGGCTTCACACATTGTACCCATGTGGGGAATCGAACCCGGGCCTTCGGCATGACGATCGAACGCTATAACCACTAGGCTACCCCAATGCCCCGTAACAAAAAGTGTATTACGTCAACAGTTAAATGAGTATAGTTGTGCAAACGAACTTGTTGCATTTTGTACATGACTGAAGGGTGCATATTCAGCCGCGAAATGCCGTTGCGTAACTTTTGGCCTTGAGTATACACGTGTCTCTATCATCTAGTCTTCAGCATCGAATATACTCGTTAATATAAAAAGTCTCAATTTTTGAGATTCTCGAAACAGATTCCATTGGGCATACAAATCAAAATAGCGGTGGGAACATTATGGGAATGGATCACCAACGTTTTCTCCATGCCAGAACCTGATGACAACAATACCATCTCGGACACAACACACGACCTCCGTGATACACCAGCCAGACTACCAGAAACACCACGTCCGGTGACAACGACGAGAAACATACAATCGATGTTCGTGAGGGGAGTGTTTTATTTGACCATGGTTTCATATCCTGATGCGTGTAACTGCAGTTGGAGAGCATGTTTCCACCGTGTAGTCACTATTGTCTGTGAAACGTTCCCATGTTGATATCATTAGCGCCAGGATGATCAACACCGTAGTCGTCATGTCGCGTGAGGGCGCCCTGATACAACGTTTCCGGTCCATTAAGTCGTCGACGAGGGCGTGATGCCTACCAAAATGTGTCAATATTAATTTCCACCAATATCATATCAAATGACTACATTTCGATCTGGACCGCGTATTGGGAATAACGACCTGTCTCAAGAAGTCCTCTTGCAAGAAGATCGAGCAAGAAATATGTTCAATATGGAACCGTTATCCTGTCTTAACCACCGTTGTCTTGGCAGCACGTGCCCAAATCCAGTCCGCCATATTTATTCCCATCGATTGCGCCCTCTCGTCGGAACTATTCCCTTCATTCAATTACAGCATCGAAAAATAGATTAAAATAATTTACTTTGATATCGAATGGCACTTAATTAGAGAACGCAAACAAGGTTTTCTGCTGGCTTCTTTAACAGTGATTTGTCAAAACGCGCGACTGGCCCGCGCAGTGCCGGCTAATCTGGCCGAGTCTTGAATGACTAAACGTGCCGAGCTGGAACTGCAACTTGTCAGAAAATTACAAAATCGCAATGAAATTCCGCTACTCCACATGCTGTTTTCAAAACTAGCCCCGGGAATTAAACCTGTTCAGTAAAACACTGGCCATAGCGAACCCATAATTGATGGCGGACGCCCGCACTGCCGATCAATACTAATTCTCAAGCCCTCTTTTTCTGAAAGGTCGAATAAAAGCATGGCCCTATATTTTATCAAAATGTCAAAAATCAGTCAAAAGGTTTGATAATTGTAGCAGATTTGCATCGCCATGCTGATTAGAATCCCGCTGCACGCACGTGCAATACGTGTTATCATCTGTCGTTTGATTGGCTGTCTTCCCTGCACGCGCTTGTCTAGGGTACAGTTATGAAGTTAATCAAAGCTGAGTCCAATATCTGTCATACAGCAGTCAAACTTGTGCAAGTCGATATTTGTAAATAAAGCCTGATATGAGACATTATTCATAACTGCCCAGACTTAATATGATATTGAGATATAGATATGCTAGTATTCAATTTATCCATCCATATTTATAACAGCCGTTATCTTGGTGCATTTTCCCTGATTTAAGGAGATAGAAAATTGAAATATAAAAAGAATTCTGCACGCTTGTTCTGACAAGTGTTCCATTACTGACGCACTTAATGCGAACATTTATTGCTCCAGATTTAACATTCTCCATCAAACCCCGAACGCCTCCGTTGTGCAGAGGGAAGAGCGTCCGCCTGGAGCTGAAGGTCGGTGGTTCGAATCCTGTAGTGTCAGACCAAAGGCGTTAGGATGGTACTGGCTGTTGTATGTACCCTGGGGGCGGTGGGGTAGCCTAGTGGGTAAAGCGTTCGCTCGTCACGCTGAAGACTCGGGTTCGAATCCCCACATGGGGAGGGCGCCCTGATACAACGTTTCCGGTCCATTAAGTCGTCGACGAGGGCGTGATGCCTACCAAAATGTGTCAATATTAATTTCCACCAATATCATATCAAATGACTACATTTCGATCTGGACCGCGTATTGGGAATAACGACCTGTCTCAAGAAGTCCTCTTGCAAGAAGATCGAGCAAGAAATATGTTCAATATGGAACCGTTATCCTGTCTTAACCACCGTTGTCTTGGCAGCACGTGCCCAAATCCAGTCCGCCATATTTATTCCCATCGATTGCGCCCTCTCGTCGGAACTATTCCCTTCATTCAATTACAGCATCGAAAAATAGATTAAAATAATTTACTTTGATATCGAATGGCACTTAATTAGAGAACGCAAACAAGGTTTTCTGCTGGCTTCTTTAACAGTGATTTGTCAAAACGCGCGACTGGCCCGCGCAGTGCCGGCTAATCTGGCCGAGTCTTGAATGACTAAACGTGCCGAGCTGGAACTGCAACTTGTCAGAAAATTACAAAATCGCAATGAAATTCCGCTACTCCACATGCTGTTTTCAAAACTAGCCCTGAATTAAACCTGTTCAGTAAAACACTGGCCATAGCGAACCCATAATTGATGGCGGACGCCCGCACTGCCGATCAATACTAATTCTCAAGCCCTCTTTTTCTGAAAGGTCGAATAAAAGCATGGCCCTATATTTTATCAAAATGTCAAAAATCAGTCAAAAGGTTTGATAATTGTAGCAGATTTGCATCGCCATGCTGATTAGAATCCCGCTGCACGCACGTGCAATACGTGTTATCATCTGTCGTTTGATTGGCTGTCTTCCCTGCACGCGCTTGTCTAGGGTACAGTTATGAAGTTAATCAAAGCTGAGTCCAATATCTGTCATACAGCAGTCAAACTTGTGCAAGTCGATATTTGTAAATAAAGCCTGATATGAGACATTATTCATAACTGCCCAGACTTAATATGATATTGAGATATAGATATGCTAGTATTCAATTTATCCATCCATATTTATAACAGCCGTTATCTTGGTGCATTTTCCCTGATTTAAGGAGATAGAAAATTGAAATATAAAAAGAATTCTGCACGCTTGTTCTGACAAGTGTTCCATTACTGACGCACTTAATGCGAACATTTATTGCTCCAGATTTAACATTCTCCATCAAACCCCGAACGCCTCCGTTGTGCAGAGGGAAGAGCGTCCGCCTGGAGCTGAAGGTCGGTGGTTCGAATCCTGTAGTGTCAGACCAAAGGCGTTAGGATGGTACTGGCTGTTGTATGTACCCTGGGGGCGGTGGGGTAGCCTAGTGGGTAAAGCGTTCGCTCGTCACGCTGAAGACTCGGGTTCGAATCCCCACATGGGTACAATGTGTAAAGCCAATTTCTGGTGTCCTCCGCCGTGATATTGCTGGAATATTGCTAAACGCGGCATAGAACTAAACTTACTCACTCACTCACTGTGTGTACCCTGCCTGCCGATAGCTTGCCGATGAGTCTGGATACAGAGCATGGGCTGAGTATCGGAGTCACTGCAACATGGTATCGATGTCTGCTTGCACTATCAACCAGCATTTAGTCCGGACTATAGCAGTCACACACACAGGAGTACGCCCAATACCCCTGAAGGCGACGTCAACGTCATTTCACTTGCATCCAAACAATGTGGTTTTATACGTTCCCTTCCCACCAAGCACATACGTTAGGCATCACTATGACACAAATAAATTTACTATATTGGAAATATACGTATCGAACTCATACAGTCAACAAGACCCGTCCAGATTTAAGGCTGTCACAGTTCGAATACATCGGTCTATTTGTTTTATTTTACAGTGATCGAACCTATTTCTCCCAAAGTGGCCTGGTCTTTCATACCTGTTTTGTTTCTTGCTGCCTCATAACACATTTGGTAATGTTCCCGGGGAATATTGGATCTCGAGTACTAGTCTCAACAAGAAGACAAAGTCATCAATATCCCCCGCAATGGCAAAATACTCTTCATGATTATGTCTACGAGGTATGATTATGTCAAATATTTAGGTGTGTATTATAGAAAAGTGGAAGGAGAGTATTGAAAGGTTTTTAAAGTTCTGCTCCAGAAAGGAGCACTATCACCAATTCCAAAACTACCAAAAAGGAACCAGTACACCACTAGACTAATCTATGTGTCAAGTTTGGTGAAGAAATAGTGAACGGTTTTAGAATTTAGCTCCGGAAAAGTGCACTACCACCAATTTCAGGCTAAGTCAACTTGTTGCCATGGAAACGCCAAAAATATTTTATTCACAATTCCAAAACTACCAAAAGGCACCAGTACACCACCAGACCAATCTATGTGCCAAGTTTAGTGAAGAAATAGTGAACGGTTTTAGAGTTCACCTCCGGAAAAGAGCACAACCACCAATTTCAGGCTAAGTCAAATTTGTTGCCATGGTGCCACGGAAATGCCAAAAATATTTTATTCAGAATTACAAAACTACCAAAAGGCACCAGTACACCACCAGATCTATGTATGTGCCAAGTTTGGTAAAGAAATTGTGAACGGTTTTAGATTTCTGCTCCGGAAAAGTGCACTACCACTAATTTCAGGCTAAGTCGAACTTTTTGCCATGGAAACGCCAAAAATGTTTTATTCAGAATTCCAAAACTACCAAAAGGCACCAGTACACCACCAGATCTATGTATGTGCCAAGTTTGGTAAAGAAATAGTGAACGGTTTTAGAGTTCTGCTCCGGAAAAGTGCACTACCACCAATTTCAGGCTAAGTCAAATTTGTTGCCACAGAAACGCCAAAAATATTTTATTCAGAAATCCAAAACTACCAAAAGGCACCAGTACACCACCAGATCTATCTATGTGCCACGTTTGGTGAAGAAATAGTGAACGGTTTTAGAGTTCTGCTCCGGAAAAGTGCACCACCACCAATTTCAGGCTAAGTCGAACTTTTTGCCATGGAAAAGGCAAAAATGTTTTATTCAGAATTCCAAAACTACCAAAAGGCACCAGTACACCACCAGATCTATCTATGTGCCAAGTTTGGTGAAGAAATATTGAACAGTTTTAGAGTTCTGCTCCGGAAAAGACAAATGTGCACGGACGGACGGACGGACGGACGCACGCACGCACGGACGGAGTCCATTTTAATACCCCCCGCTAAACGCGTTGCGGGGGATAATTACCAATCAGTCACATAACAGCATACAGACGAACAGCAGTTTCATCACGGTAATTGTTTCACACATTAAATATGTACACACGTGATGAGATGAGAAAGTGGAAGGTTGAGAGAGAGAAGGAATGGAAGTTGAATGGGAGATTGAGGACGAATAGAAGAAGGGAGTTAAGGGAAAGTGGTTGAGGTTGAGGATGAGAAAGAAGACAAGGGGGGGGGGGTGTTAAGGAGATTGAAGGAGGTTGAAGGAGGATATTTGATACGGAAGGTATCGTAAGAGGTTGAGGGCATAGAGGAAAATGAAGACGTTGCGGAGGAGAGGAAAGAGGAGGGTGTTTGAGAAGAAGAGGTTGGGGAGTTTGAGGATTGGAAAAGGGGAAGAGGAATTGAAGAAGGAGATAAGGAACAAGTTGAAGAGGAGGAGGAGAAAAAGGTGCGGTTGTGAAGATAACTGAGGAGCAGAGGAAGAGGTTGAAGGGTAGGAGGAAGTTAAGAAGGAGCAAGAGAACATTTCTTCTTCACAACACATTATGTCCGTCTAAAACAAGGTATTTGTCTTAAAGTGAGTGAGTGAGTTTAGTTTAGCAATATTCCTGCAATATCACGGCGGGGAACACCAGAAATGGGCTTTACATATTGTACCCATGTGGGGAATCGAACCCGGATCTTCGGCGTGACGAGCGAACGCTTTAACCACTAGGCTCTGCAATATCTATATATTTTGGATGCGGCGTAAATCAATAGTCATTCACTAATAGTTTGGGATTCCGGGTCAAACCGCATCTCCAATGACTCATTAGATCCGACCTATAGGGTCACAATCACACAAGTGTGTCACAAAACCCATAAACAGTTACGTCAACTATCCGTCTCAAGTTTTGACAAACTGAACCTAATTGTCAAGAAGACGTTGTGACATGGCTGGAATATTGCTGACGGCGTTAAACACAGAAATTACTCATTGATGTGGTGATCGGTTTGTAAGTCTGAACACTGAATACATTGTATAGACATACGCCGTGTGATTCCTGTATTGAATACAACACATTAGACAGTCAACAATAACAATCGCTCTTCCCGTCTATGTCTGAAGACAAGACGACCCAGTCTCCACCACCACTCCCAGCTCTCTCCAACCCATTGCCCAACAAGCCGGGCATATTGTGGTATCGCCGCCTTCTTCAAAGCTTTCTATTGACAATTATACAGATATACAGGCATTACCCAAGACAGGATGTTCATTACATTAAGGCCTGTCTGATTACAACAGCTCTATGAATAACGACCGATGCCATGCGTCTACTGCGGGTTAGGGTGTTCTGGGCAAAGACACTTATGCATGATTAGCAGGCGAGCTGGAGAGAGTTATCTAGGTCCGGTTCTTCTGACATACGCCTAATGAGTTGAGAAGACGGGGGATTAAACGTTTCGCGAATCTGTACAGTCATGTTGACCTACTGTGGTGCTGGGGTTTTCTTTAACGGACACTGTGTAAACCAAATGCTGTCTAAACCGAACAATGCTCTGGTCGACTTAGAACTATCGCAGATCTATGCTTAAGTATAAGAGATATAAGAATCTAATTGTAACACTGAAAACGCATTCTACGGACACTGTGTAAACAGGACGGGCACGTTCAACTTACAAGCGCAACGATGTGATTTACCCTTAGGTGTTGATGTAACCATTTTCAAGTGCGGCAAGAAAGCAAATATTGTACGGACACTGTGCATACGCAGCCTGTGTAAACCGAACTGAGCCAAATTCCATAAACAGTCAAAACGATTTTCCCTCGCAAATATTGTTGAAGTGTGTCAAAGACACCATGCTATGTGCCGCAATGTGAAGATGTATTGCATATGGACACAGCATATACCAATTCCTGAATAAACCGGAGAGGGAAAAGAGAGTATAATTCATTATTTTAGAGAACTCAGTTCTTGAACAAGTCTAATGTTCAGAGAATGTTTCCCTACTCATCTCGCAAAACAGTTTCTCAACCTTAACATGTTGCAGAGAACGTGTTGTGGCTTTATCATATAACGTTGTAGGCTTATCAAGTATAGTTTGACGTACCTCGTGTGCGGCCGGGAACACAGAGTGTAACAAACCGTATTCCGGGGCGTCATATGCTCACATCTTGCCGCTATGTTTTCATTAAATACAATTTCGAAGAAATGGACGAAAAATGTTTGTTCACACTTCCGTTAAAGTCAGTGTTCATCAGCCGCTTACATGGGATTACATGAAAACGTCATTTATCAATAAAAATACCCATTATTTCATCCTAAGCTAAGATACATGTTTTCATTAAATACAATTTCGAAGAAATGGACGAAAAATGTTTGTTTGCACTTCCGTTAAAGTCAGTGTTCATCAGCCGCTTACATGGGATTACATGAAAACGTCATTTATCAATAAAAATACCCATTATTTCCCCCTAAGCTAAGATACATCAGTGGGCAGACTCACCTCTATATGTATGATGTTATAGTTACACTGGGCACTGTCTCGGACCATGGGCTTGATGAGGATCTCGACCAGCTTGGAGGCCTCCACTCCACACATCGCCTGGATGTTGGGCTTGATGCAGTTCATGGCGTTCCTCATGTCTCTGGAATACAGAACACTCATTCAAATGTCTGTACATCATGCTGCACTCAAATCTTACATTCGTTCCGATGATCATATCAAATATTCACACATAATTGTGAATAGACAATTGTGAATAGGATAAATATCCTGGACCTATTCGCTTCTCCAGCTTCTCTCTGATCACTGACCTAGCAAAGGATTTAACATGATTTAAATCTTAATAGAGGGTTGTTATTGAGGCATGTCTGTCGAGTGGAATTCAAATAGGGAATAAATGATGCTAAAGAGTTATCTCTTCGAAAAGCGAGTGATTGATATTTTACGCCGCTTTAGAAATATTTCACGACAGGGAAAGCTGACACATTGTACCCCAGGGAATTGAACCCGGATCTTCAGAGTGACCGGCGAACGCTTTAACCAATATGCTAAATCACCTCCCTTTAATTTTATTATAAGGACAGACGAGCTGGTTTTACACTGCTCCTTAAATGTGACTGCCTTTAGCACCTGAGATACAGCTTGAGTGGGTACGTTTTACACCGTGTTTAGCATTACCTAGAATGTACTGAACCGGAACCCGGGTATTGGGTGTGACAAGCAAACGCTGTGACCTCAATGCTACCCTTCGCCCTTAAATTCACAAAATTCACAGAACAAAGCTAAGCCAGACGTTCGTGACGCATAACACGATGACGTGTGTTATGTATTGCCAAACAATGAAAAAAACCTTTAACAAATGCGAACTATAGAAGGAATCATTTCGCACATCCACTGTGTTTACTCGAGGAAATGGCAATAATATTGCCGTTCAACACCAGTGAAAGTGATGACAATTGCCTTCACTTCTGTGTCGTGTCTTCATCTATCAACGACATGGCGTTCTGTAAGCTCTGGGACGATCAACATTAATCGCGAAGCAAACTGTTCAGGGAAGGAGACTAATATTTCAAAATGACATCTCTCCACATTTTTCTATATATGTTGCTTTACCGGCATAGTTCCTCTATCGTCTTCCGGTTGACCTTTGACATAAGCCGGATGCTGTTGTTCATATACTTGGTGAGGCAGTCTTCCGACACGTACCCTTGCAAGGCGAAACAGTTTTGGTGGCGGGCATACTCTGAAATGATAAAGACATTTATATTTTAAACAGTATGGGGTTTTGACGATCGAGTGTGATAGGTTTCATATGTGACAACTGTGACGTTATTGCGATTCTCAAAAGTGATTTGGTAATGACGTCGAAACACTGATCAGTTCCGTCGTAAGGTTAGAGTTCTCTCCCTTGTCGTCCACAACACTCCAGCGGAAAAAATATAGGCATACCCAGCGTCATTACTGAGGGGACATAATACGAAGAAGATCAAATACGACCCATTTTCAGTTCACACGGGTTCAGTTCAGTTGCATCTGGAATGAACCCTACACGAAGACTATGTATCGCACGCGCATGCGCTAAGCCACTGGTTGTGTTGAGTAGTGTGTTTTGGGGAGTGTTTCCCATCATCTTCAATCGTGCACTTTCCATTGTTTTTATTAATCGTTGTCTGTTTTTCCGGCTTCATACAAACATTTAACATAGACATAAACAACTGGTTGCATGATATCTTAATGTTAGTCACACTATTAATCACTGTTAACACTCTCAAACATATTGGTGACCCTTTAATAATTATGCTGAATAGTGAATATACGAAATCGACTCGGAATTAAGGATTTTCTGTCATTAGAAATAAAAACCACCATAAGATGACATTTGGGATTCTGGTCGGTCCATTATGTGGAACTCTGGCTGAATTTCGTCCAAGGTTGTCCAAAACATTAAGTATATTCACATCACGTGTTGTTGAAAGCAAAAACAAAAAAGAGGGGGAAAATGAAAGATAAAAGACGATAAAAAACAACACCTTCATGTCCCACAATGGTTTACAGATGTCTTATTGTAAAGCTGTTTTACAAAGCAGTAAGGCAGTGGCGGATATATCTGACAAGAAGTTTCACAGGCGTATCTGTTGCCCCGTTAACCCATCCCACGGTACAGTCATCTTGATCGTCACTGCCTCACGATAAATCCAATTATCGAATGTACCAGCCTTCATCTTGCCCGATGATAAATTCCATTATTGTATGAACCGACCTTCTTCAGATTCAGCTGAACATTCTAAAGCTTTAAAAATGTATCTCGGGTTCTTCCGCGTCCTTTTAATTTGGGAATCTAAACCGAACCCGTCTGAAGAGTTCCCAAGATTGTTTCGATGCGTCTGAAACTGGGAAGATCAATAGAAATTACCTCAACAGTTTGTGCAAGCGATCTTCCAATGTCGCTACAAGATTGCAAGCCTGTCAACCAAACATTATCGGGTCACGTGACCGCCCCACCCCATCCTCATCCGTTAGCGTTGATGATGATGTTGAGAGCTGTGTGTAATGAATGGCCAACACTACAGGTCAACGCAATGCTAGACAGAATATGCTGACTTGAAAACTCGATATTACTTGTTGCAGGCATCGATGAAGAAACAAGATTGCTGAGGCCCGGTATGCAATCAACAGATTGTCGGATGCGACAGCCGTGCGACACGATTTCAAAATATGCTGTTTTCAAGACGTTCATCTACAGTGTGTCAGTTTGGATTCAAGTAAGTCAATAAATATAGGAATTCGGAACCGCCACGATCTACTTCTGTACTTGGATCCCAAACGGGATAAGGTCCGGGTTTGACACGTAGCAAGTTCTATTTACCGTCAGGATAATTTTGAATAACCACGGGTGTTGGATGGCTCACGATTGAGTGCATTGTTTGTCTTATGACCTGGGTTACTTCCCAAACACAGATGTAATTATATTTTACAAATTTTCTGCGTTTATTTCTTATATTTCATCAAACTCTACATACTGACCCGTGAAGATCCGGGTTAGAATTAGTCTTCAGTAACCCATGCTTATCGTGAGAGGCGACTAACGGGATCGGGTGGTCAGACTCGAAGAGTTGTTTGACACATGTCATTGTATCCCAATTACGCAAATCGATGCTCATGCTGTTGATCACAGTGTTGATCACTGGTTGTCTGATTATTTACAGACCGCTGCCATATAGCTGGAATATTGCTGAGTGCGGCGTTAAACAACAACCAAACCAAACTACATACTGCACCCTATCCAGTCCTAACTTGACACCATGCAGAACGCGATAATTAAGTCTGTTGAGAAGTCGGATGTGTGTGATCAGGGCTTTACACTCAGTCTATAACAAACCTCTTGCAAGATGATCGGGAAGCTGTTGATTGTTTTTGGCATTCTGAAGTTTAGGAGTGGGCGTCAATAGCATTGTTTCAGGTAGAAAATACGTTCAATGCAAAAACAAATATAGCTCGCAGCTAAAGTCGACATTTTGGGAAACATGGCTGGTGTGTTCTGTCTACTGCACAAATGCACAGAGGTAAATTTAATAAAAACCAAACAAAAACAACAACAGAACAACATCCAAGCAAACAATAACCTGGATGTTAGGTAGGTCCAGAACATCATTAAGTCTTGGTGTTAATAACTGACGGGTTGCCAGGCCAGCTGACTTGTAACAATGTGTGTTACAGGCATACCTCACCATGTAATGGCACTGTTAGGAGCTGTTGTTGCATTGCAAGAAAATAGATGTTGCAAGACGAGACGAGACCTGTGTGATATAATTACAGATGTTCTCTCTGCAGCGAACGAGCTCAGTCTCCGTAGACGGAAACGTGCCACCGTGCTTGTATATATTCCACCGAGAGTCTTTGTACTATTTGAAGAAGATAATAGTTAATGCCTAATATCTGCATGTGGAACTTCAGTCAAAACGTGAATATCCTTTCTCGCACATGTTAATCAAGAGGCATATGGCTTGTAATAGCCTTGGGTTTAGGAACAGCTGTCGTGGATTTGGCAAAGACGACTAACAAGGAACTTCAATTAAAGTGTAAAACGCTCGATCGAATCCATTTTATTGGACAAACAAATTTGTATAGATGTTTTAAGGATTGCATGATGTGTAAGGCCGTATTCCGCGTTAGTCCACGTTTGTAAGATATCGAGTTTGGACCAAAACAACCAGTGTCTAGATTTCCTCAGGTTCAATCTCTGGTCTACCTAGGGCGCCTTTTCAATTTAAATGGGCCTGTTTGTTACTATCAAAATTATATATATTCAGAGACTAAGCATTAGTCTAGCCCGCGCCATGATATTGCTGAAATATTGCTAAAAGCGGCGTAAAAATAAACTCACTCACTCACTATATAACGGTGGCCTGTAAATCCAGTAGTTGACGTCATGAGCATCGATCTACGATGATATGCGTAAAAGATGTCAGCGAGTTTGACCTCTCGATTGCGTTTATCGACATCCCACAAGCATGGGTTCCAGATGACAATGCAAATCTAATCCAGATCAATGCGACCCCTTATATCCGGATCCTACCGCCTGGTGGTGCAGTGGTCCGTGTTTGATTCCCATGCCGTGTAACACCAAACCCAATGGTCTATGTATAGTCACGTGCACGTCACTACATCAGTGCAATCAGTGAGTGAGTGATTATGGTTTTACGCCGCTTTTAGCAATATTCCAAATGTATCCAATCGAACCCGGGTCTTCGGCGTCCATATTGTTAACCACCTGTATACCCACCGCCCTGCAACAGTCTTGAACTAGACGTGAAACCCCATTTCACCATACCTCTACTATCCCGGGTCTCCACAGGGTAAAATTCATTCTGACTAATGAATTCACATTTCCGCTTATGCTTCAACGAACAGAGCATGTCCCTTCCTGGTCAATATGCTGCTACTTCACAACAGAAACACAACATCGCCGACGGCGGAGGCCGTTATCCGATTTCATTCAGATTCAAAGTAAATCATACACTCGACTTAAACAGCTATATAAGTTTATTTCCCCCATCGACTTCTCTTCCTTTTATGGGGTGATTAATTCTAAAATATAACATTCATTCACGTGATTGTAAAAACCTGAGTCGGGAGTAAAATTACAAGGACGGTGGAAAATTGATGCGCACGTCATCAACGAGCAATTCTGACTTCCTGTCAAAATAGAACGACTATTGATTTTTATTGGCCACGGAAATAAACGGCTTCAAGTCAAGCGATCATGAATATAAGAATAGCTAACGTGGACGAGAATAACTTATTTTAGGGAATCCCCTGGTGTTTTATTGCCAGCTAACATACCGTCATCGATACTGTCTTGAAAACAGTAATCATGGTTTTGTTTGGACAAAGCAAACAACACCTCTCCATGGTGACGATGTAGACGAGAGCTATGACGACTCTTGGCACGGGAGCAGTTCTTCAGGATTTGGACGTTCCCGAAACGCTGGTAGTTCACAAAGGGGAATCAAAACATCGATGGTGCGATCAGCTACGTTGGAATACACGAAGACGTGCGAGGGACGGGGATAGAGATTGAACACAGTTGCTGACTTGGCAGATTATAGTTTTGTGCACAGTAAGCACGAGTGAGGGAGTTTAGTTTTACACCGCACTTAGCAATATGCTAGCTATATGGCGGCGGTTTGTAAATAATCGAGTCTGGACCAGACAATCCAGTGATCAACATCATGAGCATCGATCCACGCAATTGGGATACGATGACATGCGTCAACCAAGTCAGCGAGCCTGACTACCCGATCCTGTTAGTCGCCTCTTACGACAAGCATTGGTTACTGAAGGTTCATTCTAACCCGATTCTTCTCGGGTCTCACAGTAAGTATGAGCTATTGTAGATGCCTTACGATATAATATGTTTTCGAGAGTGGTGTATAAGCATGATATACACTGGACGGACAGCATAATGATGACAATGATGATGATGATGATGATGATGATGATGATGCGATAATGAAAAGGATGCGCTTCATTCCATGCTCAAACCGGTGTGTGATGCAGAAGTATTATATGCCTTGCTTTCCATAGATGGTGTCAACTTTGAAACTGGATAACACTTAAGGAATATCTATCTAACTAGCCACAGAAACTGAAATTGATGCAAACGTGCTTCACAATAACGGTGACCTTGATTCTGATCTGTATGAAGACCATTGTGTGTAGTCCCAAATCATTGAGGATATC